ATTGATTTCCTACAGGGAACAGAAATTAGATTTGCAGAGTTGGACCGACATCTAACTGCTGTCCTTTTTGATTTCGTTTTTTTTAGAATTTAAAAACATTTTTGAGCTGGTGCGAGGAACACACACAGTCTCATTGGCTATAAAATGTGAAAACCCTTTGTTGTTGTTCTTAGCTCCCAGAGTCAAAGGGAGTCTAAGCACAGTTCACTGTGTTTTGGACTGGTAATTCACTGCCATACGGACAGGGAGCAGTTGGTTTCGCAACCGTTGTACTCACCCGGTGCTGGTGAGCAGGAGGCGGGGGAGAGCGGTGGGGTCCGAGGGGGCTCAGATGTAAACAGTCACGCCCCCCTCGGGTAACGCTGAACAACATAACGTAGTAATCCCATCAACAGCTGCTACCGTATCTGTTTGGGTGTAATCCTCTGGACTGATAGGCTTCGTAACGTTTCCAGAAAAGGGCAAAGTTATTCACAAAGCCATAGTTAAAAGAGCTGTGCATGTAGCCTGAAGCCACACAGCAGCGCCAACAAACACGACTGTAGAGGCAGTCACCCTCTGTTTACAGTCCTGTATTGGACCAAGAAATAAAAACAGATAGGCCGTAGGATTGAAGGAGGTGGAACAGATCCATATATGATCTTCGTGACTTCTGACTGTCTGAAGTTTCATGTCGTTAATTCCCACATGCACGACTACCTTGGAAACGGTAATTCAGCAGGGGACTGAAGCAGAGGAGGGAGACGGATGAGCAGGTCGGTACAGTAGCTCCGGGAATACAGCGAGTGACCGCCGTTAAAGAGCGGACGTGCTCACGATGGAATCTCCAATAATCAGAGTGGTCGGGGCGAAAGTGCCTCGGAGAAGGAGCACGTGGAACGATCCAGCTGGTTCCTCCACGAAGCAGGACCCCGAGCCTGAGCGCCGCGAAAACATGGAGAGAGGAGCGGGGGTGCTGACTCTCAGCACAGGCGACCTCACTCCTGTGTGCTCGGGGACGCTGGAGCGGTGAGAGGGGCTGCTCTTGGCAGCTGCTGCTGACCCGGTGGAGGTGAGCGGTGGTGATAGATGGCTCGCTACCCCCAGTCTGAGGCTGCTGCACTGGGGGTCAAAGAGGGGAACAGGCCAACATGCTGGTGGACCGCTCCTTTCCGCCTGAGATCTGCTTCCTTTTAGGAGCGTTTCCTCGCAGCTGGACTTGATGGATTCCTCGAGCAGTAGAGTACGCAGCAGTGTCCAGGATACTGCATGAGTGGGCCGGGATGTCCGGTGGAAGAGGGATAGCATAGCGGTTTGCCACTCAGGACATGAGGCCACGGCGCAGGATGGCTCCTCGGAATCCGCGGGGCTCGTTATTCGGAAAGCGGGCGCTTAGTGGTGTAGTAACAGAGGGTCCGGAGCTGACGGATCTCTCCACACGACAGTGTCCAAGGATGCAGCGCTCATGTTGACATCATCCGTTAGTGACAGCCCACCAGCGACTCAAATAAGTTTGGACACTCAGGATTGTTTCTCATTCAACTCTAGCGGTGAGACGAAGGACTTCTTTTCGTAGTTTGCAAATGGTGAACAGGCGGGTCCCCCCCCCCTCGGGGGGTGGTCCGCTCTCACGGAGCTCCAAGGTGAGGCGACTAATATTGTGCATATTTGAGCAAATTTATTGTCTCTTTCCATGTCCTCGTTAGCTTGTGTTAGCCTCTGTGCTACTAGTGGTTTCAGTCGGGACTAAGTGCTATTTGCTGAAACCACTGAATTAAAAAGATTAAACACTCAAGATATTAAAAAACTGATCAATAAAAACGCGCTAAAAAGTTTTTAAAAGTTTACTAAAAAGGTGCACAGAGCACCCTTCAGTACTGCTACTTGACACACCTGCGTTGAGGAGTTGGTGAGTGTGTTGCGAGTCATTAATATGGCCACTAGTGAAATAGTACTGGAAACTGTTGTTTGTATTAAACATCAGTAGGGAACATTTTATTTTGACACTTCCTGTCCTCACCGGAAGTCGAGTGGCTCGCGCAACATCAGAACGGAAAAACTTTACAAAGTGGTATGGACGTTTCACACAGCTGGTCTAGACAAACGGGTCATCAAGAAACTGCCACTAATATGGCATAAAAGACAATACTAAGTTTAGCTACAGTTGAGATAGAAGAACAAGGTATATGGGATGGATTTTAACTTGTGTGTAACAATTGTAAAGTTTCTTTAAATTTGTAAAATTAAATAGCAAAAGTAATGTAACAGGTTTAACAAATGTATTTGATGCTAGATAGTATTTGGACATGAATGTAAGTTGATTTTCAGTTCTGTTCTAGCTCTGTACGTCGGTTTATATGAATAATGGAAAGGACAAAATAAACTCCATTTTACCATCAGCTTTCTGGCTTCAACTTTAAACTCAACTGGACGCTACACTGTACTATACACATTGAAATAAGTTAGCAGTGAAAACCTCATTACATTACATATTGCATTTGCATAAATTCATACATTTGAAATTATTAAAAACACAAAATTGGATACATTTTAGATGGCTACATAATCCATAGTAACAGGAGAGACACAATGTAATCTAATGTATCCACAGTAACGGAGAGACAGCAATGTTTTAAACTAATGTATCCCATAGTAACGGAAGACAGCAACGAGAGTATTCAACTTCAGTGAAGAGAGAAAGTCCATTTGCCGCATTGTGCAAACCTGACAGAGCAACCACCAACTCGTCAGAGAACACTGATCGTGTTCCATGTGAATTGTTATTTTTTAGCAGCTAATTTAGACCGTTTAATCTAAGCTCTTGAAACTAGTATCATCAAATCTGTTTTATTTTGAAATTATAAAAATTGCAATTGATAATGATCCATTAAAAATTCAAAATCAGATGTAAACAAATCTGCTCTTTTTTCTAAAATTTGACAGTGTCCTTTGAATTTGTGGCTCAAAAATAGACATATTGGATTATTTAAAAGCGATAATGTAATTTTGAAATTTTCTCTTTACAATGAATTTGTAAAGCGAAATAATTTTGTCTTTGAATTTTGTTAGTGACCTGAAATGCAAACAGCTTTTTCCGCGTTAAAATCTTCCAAAAAAAAAGTAATATAATGTCGAATACTTTAAGGTACATTACCATAACTTTACATACTAAAGTTTGTACATTACTATAAAGTTACTTACTATGACTTTATAGTTAGTGTACCTTTACGTATTCTAAATTATAATACTTTTTTTTTTATTTTAAAAAGAGGTAGGCTATATCAGTAAAAAACTATTATTTAACTTTGAATCAGAATACATGCTAGAATAGAATAGAATTAGATGAGGACGTTGTTCTGGTTTGTTCTAGTGCCATTTTGCTTCGTCACGACTTTGTTGGACAAACATTTATATTTTGTCACTTTGGGAAATACTCAGAAAACTGAAAAATCATCTTACAATCATGTCCAAATACTATCTCGCATTCAAATACATTGTTAACCTTACATTACTTTTGCTATTTAATTTACACATTTAAAGAAACTTTACAATTGTTACACAAATAAATCCATCCATAACCTTGTTCCTTCTATCTTCAACTGTAGCTAAACTTTGTCTTTTAGTCTTTTATGCATATAGTGCAGTTTTTCTTAATGACCGTTTGTCCTAGACCAGCTGTGTGAAAACGTCCCATACACTTTGTAAAGTTTTTTTTTCCGTCTGATGTTGCGCGAGCCACCGACTTCCGTTGAGTCAGGAAGTGTCAAAATAAAATGTTCCTACAGATTTTAATAACAACAACAGTTACAGTACTATATTTCACTAGTGGCCATATTATGACATAACGCAAACACACTCACAACTCATCAACGCAAGGGTGTGTCAAAGTAAGCAGTACTGCAGGGCTGCTCTGTTCACCTTTTTTAGTAAACTTTTAACAACTTTTAGCGCGTTTTTTATGTTCAGTTTTTTTTAAATATCTGAGTGATTTATCTTTTTTAATTCAGTGGTTTTCAGCAAATAGCACTTAGTCCCGACTGAAAACCCACTAGTAGCACAGAGGCTAACACAAGCTAACGAGACAGGAAAGTGACAATGAAATTTGCTCAAATATGCACAATATTAGTCCGCCTCACACCTTGGAGCGCCGTGAAGAGCGAACCGTTCCACCATTGCAGATCTACGAAAAGAAGTCCTTCGTCTCACACCGCAGAGTTGAATGAGAAACAATCTCTATTGTCCAAACTTTTTGAAGTCGCTGGTGGGCAGCACTCACGGCTGATGTCACTGAGCGCTGCATATTGTGACACTGTCGTGTGTTATAGATCCGTCAGCTCCGGACCCTCCTGTTCTACACCTATAAGCCCCCGCTTCCGAATAAACGAGCCCGCGATTCCGAGGAGGCATCCTTGCGCCGTGGCCCATGTCCTGAGTCTGGCACACCGCGTATGCACTCAAAACTTGTGAGTTTATAGCTATCTCTTGTATAAAGGTGACGTCACCTCGACTCAAACAATCTGATTCAGAGATCAGTCTGCTCCTCTGTCTGTGAGCCCGCCTCCCCCCGCCTACACAGTGACGTAGCCTCACGCTCTGAGTTGTTTATCTCTGGTACAAAGTCATTTCAGACTTGAGAATAATATTTATCCAACAATGACAATCCGTCACATCGATCCCTATGTCCTCCATGCACAATCAGACCCTGATTATTTAGTTTACAGAAGTATTTGGCGAGTTAGCATCACGGTACTCACAGATCGGGGCTTTGTGTGTTACGTCTTTTATCGTAGGAATAACACATGTTTCCAGACCAGTTTTTGAGTAAGTCCGGTTCCATTGTCCCTGTAGATCTGGAACAGTCTTAGTGAAGTGTCGCAGATGAACAGAATTATTGAAACAGAGGCAGATCCCGGTGAGTCGATATAGTGCGTCACATATTTACACCCAAAAACACATTTTATCCAAGTTGACTTGACCCTAACACTTTTAGCCGCTGACAAAAGCAGAAAAACAGTAGCTCCATGTGGTGTCTGTGGGACCAAACCACAGCCATACGCTGGACTCGGGAGCTGGACTCGGGAGCTGGACTTGGGAGCTGGACTCGGAAGCTGGACTCGGAAGCTGGACTCGGAAGCTGGACTCGGAAGCTGGACTCGGGAGCTGGACTCGGGAGCTGGACTCGGGAGCTGGACTCGGGAGCTGGACTCGGAAGCTGGACTCGGAAGCTGGACTCGGAAGCTGGACTCGGGAGCTGGACTCGGGAGCTGGACTCGGGAGCTGGACTCGGGAGCTGGACTCGGGAGCTGGACTCGGGAGCTGGACTCGGGAGCTGGACTCGGGAGCTGGACTCGGGAGCTGGACTCGGGAGCTGGACTCGGGAGCTGGACTCGGGAGCTTTGATTTGCTGTTTCAATTTGCTGTTTCAATCTGTCAATCACCTCCCGGCTTTTATTATTATTTTTACTTTTATTATTTTGACAACAAACAGCATACTTATTGTGTATTGTTTACCCTGATTTGACGAACGTATTTAAGAACCATTTCGAAAACAAAGCAAACGGGGTTATGTGCATCAGTCTGGTTATCGTCACTAATGTGGACCCGAGCGTTTCGCTGCCTCTCGAGGGTGAAGGAGACTGATCGCTGTCTTGCTAAAGATTGACAGAATCAATGAAAAAACTACTCTGGGCATGTGTATGAGGCCAAATAGTACTATAATCATGTTTAAAGCAGAAAAAAGTCAAAAAGCGTAATATGGGCCCTTTAATGAATATAAAAAGTCACAAATTCAAATAATGAACTATAAAACTTTCCACAAACGCTTGATTCTTGGTTTTTGTATTTTTGTCTCTGTTCCTCGAGCCCAAACGTTTACTTTGTCAAATGTTAAAGAATGAGAACATGACAGTTTGAAATGTAGCCGTATTATATGTTATATTTATACAGGAGCTAAACTGTGTGTGCAAAGTAAAACGTACAACGGCATGTACAATTTTCTCTGCGTTTTCAAAGATCTTTTTTCCACGCACAGACACATGATACAGTAAATAATATACCCCTTAATGCGGCCCAGCTTCACCCAGACTCCCTGATAAATTGAGTTTGAGAACCCTGCTGTAAATGAATTTGTATATTTTGAATGTATTTTGAAGTTACCGGAAGATTCCCGGGGATCGGTGTGTCGGAGGTTTCCAGCCAGACAGGAAGGAGACGGACCTGAAGAGGAAGTGCATCAGTAATGCCCAGGCACCGAATGCTCTGGTCAGTCTGTTTTCCCCCAAACAATTAAAGAAACGCGGTGTAACTTTTCAGGATGTGTAGTTCCCAACATGCGGTGGGAACACAGGAACTGATCTGAAAGCACTTCATCTGGGTGGCCAGAATTAGAAAGAAAAAGAAAAGTGACCAAGCCTCTCTAAAGAAAACAAATAAACCTACAATTGTTGGCTCTAAAGGAACATTGTAAAAACTATCTGTTATGATAAGATGTTGCCTCACACGAGCAATGACTGAAAAGAAATCGAGAGCTTTGCCTTTCGACTCCGCTCCCTCTTCACCACAACAGTCTGACACAGCTCTGACTGCAGACGCTGCTCCCTCTTCACCACAACAGTCCAACAGCGTCTGCATTACCATATGCTCCATCCGTCTCCATCCTTCAGACTGTTAAGAAGCATCCACCGCTACTTATCTCTGTATATTTTGTGTGTTTTTACTACTGTACTGTATGCGCGCGCCAACACCAAAACATTTTCCGTCTCTGGCATCTCTCTGGTCTCTCTATATGGTCTCTCTCTTGGCTCTTTCTCTGGTCCGTCTTTTTGGTCTCTCACTGGTCTCTCTGGTCTCTATCATGTCTCTCTGGTCTCTCTCTGGTCTCTCTAGTGGTCTCTCTCTTGGCTCTCTCTGGTCCGTCTTTCTGGTCTCTAGCCTGTCTCTCTGGTCTCTCTCTGGCCTCTCTCTCTGGTCTCTCTAGTGGTCTCTCTCTTGGCTCTCTCTCTGGTCCGTCTTTCCAGTCTCTCACTGGTCTCTCTGGTCTCTATCCTGTCTCTCAGGTCTCTCTCTTGGCTCTCTCTGGTCCGTCTCTCTGGTCTCTATCCTGTCTCTCAGGTCTCTCTCTTGGCTCTCTCTGGTCCGTCTCTCTGGTCTCTATCCTGTCTCTCAGGTCTCTCTCTTGGCTCTCTCTGGTCCGTCTCTCTGGTCTCTATCCTGTCTCTCAGGTCTCTCTCTTGGTCTCTCTGGTCCGTCTCTCTGGTCTCTATCCTGTCTCTCAGGTCTCTCTCTTGGCTCTCTCTGGTCCGTCTCTCTGGTCTCTATCCTGTCTCTCTGCTCTCTCTCTGATCTCTCTGCTCTCTCTCTGGTCTTTCTCTCTCTCTGCTCTCTGCTCTCTCCGGTCTTTCTCACTGGTCTCTTTCTCGTTGGTCTCTTTCTCGTTGGTCTCTTTCTCTCTGGTCTCTCTGATACTGATTCTGGTTACAATGCTCACAAGATACTCAAGTTACAAGTCAAGGTTTTGTGGAGGTAGAACCACTGCATACCTAATGCACAAGACCAGGAAAACCAGAGCCGACCAGAACGCGCCACTTTTTCTAATATTTGGCCGTCCATGGTGCGAGCATGAGCCAATGACCACAGACCATGTTGAACCGGCAGAGATAATGAAAACAAGAATTAATCTTAAATTCTACAGTTACGGCTTGCTATATATCACACATTTTACCATAATTATTCTGTTCAATTTAAAGGAGCAGTATGTAAAAGTGGTACTGTAACATCTCCCACTCTCCCTCAGGTTGCCAGATATGCAGACAAATCCAGCTGGGACCATAATATCTGAATAGACAAGAGTTTTTTGTCCACGAAAAATCTATAACCAACACCTTTTTCACAAAGATAGAAATCCTGGTTTTATTCCTTGTTTTGTCGTTAATGATTTGAGAATCATAACGAGACCTTTTTTAGTTCTTACTCACTTTACCAGTGAGATTAGCTCGACGCAGTGAGTTCTGGCAACCCAGATCATGGACTTTCTGATTGGTGAAGGGAGGGACTTAGAAATGAGAACAATATCGAGATTTAGGGCCTGTAAAACTAATTTTGAAATTCATATATCTCTGAACTACTGTTATCAGTTAAAGAAATATACGAAAAGAGCATTGTTTATTAATTCCTATAGAAATATTAGGGCCATGATTACTTGACATGAAAATCTTATATATTGCTACTTTAACCGTCTGATTTTGTTTTTCTCTCTTGGTTTTTTCAGCCCGTCTCCGGTTCCGCCAGCACAGCCCTCATAGTGCTGGTCGTAATAGTGATTCTTCTGTCCAGTGCCGTCACCGGAGTTTGGCTGGTCAAAAAGTACATCTGTGGTGGAAGGTAGATATTTTAAGTAAAATAAATTGTCATGCTTTAGCCATGGTTTAAACAAAAAATGTTTTAGATCAGAGATGCTTTTGCTGTACAGTGTTCCCTGTTTAACACAGGGGTTACGTGTAAAAAGTAATTACAGCTGCTAATAAAGTAGCAGTAAAAAACTCCTCACACACTTTATACTTTTGTACCCACCCGAACTCATAACTGCTGAAGTGCGATTGCGAAGATACTTAACCTGTTGGTTGTAGATCTGAATGCTGCTGCAGCTGTCAAAAGCCGTGCATACGCTTTAAACACAGCTGCAGAGGACAGAGGACCAGGACTGAGGGCTACGGGAAGTAGTCCTCTGAACTATCATGTTGTTGGAGTATACTATGGATCTATTATCTATATTACAACCTTTTGCTAAATGCTCTGTTTTTTCACTTTTTGGACAAATCATCTGACTTTGAAATTGTGGACTTTGTTTTTTGAATGAAACGTTTTGGGAATTTCTTCAGTCAAATGTTCTTCTTTTCAACTTTATGTAATTTACTTTTATATGACTTCACACTTTTAACCACTAGATGGAGGTGTTGCTCAACCTCAGAGCCCAGATTTTAAGCCCAAAATAGTGAGTGGCACAGATACAACTAAAGAGTAAAACATATTTACTGTTTGGGGAAGTGAATGGGACCCAGGTATATCGGGTCATTAAACAGTACTAGCATCTTAAAGGCATTGTCATATTAAAAGAACCCTCTCAGCCACGAATGGGACTAAAGAATGAATGTGGGAAGGATAAGAACAAGGAATGCACTGTTCTAATCTTTGATGACAGAAGTCCATGCTGTGTACTTTAATCTTGTTAATGTAGATTTTTCATCCCCTAAAGTGTCCTTTTGTTGCAGGTTCCTGGTGCACAGATATTCAGTGATGAGGGAGAATGTTGAAGCAAATAAAATTGAGGGAGTGGACGATGTGGACACAAACTACATGGAGACGGTGAAAGCGCAGTACAACGAAGATTCAGACCAGGTATTTCTGCTCATTGCATCCAATTCCTGATTTGATTCTGAAAGCATTATTCTGTCTTATGAAAAAAACCTATTAAAAAAACAAAAAACTTTATATTTAAAGAGGTAGAAAATTTGGTATCAATATCTTAACTGAAAACTTTGTATATTATGAAAACATATGTAATGTTTTCCTAACATACAACTACATGAATACAAGTACACAACATCATGTACCTACACTCATACATACATAATATACAGTACTTTTAAGCGCACCTGTATATAAACCGCAACAGCTACATTATTAGTTGTATATTTAAGTATTTTTGACACTATAAGGCGCACCTGATTATAAGGCGCATTATCAAATTATGCCTTTATTGTCTTATATAAGGTGCACTGGATTATAAGGCGCACTGTTGACAAGGCTTTTATGTCCACCTAATAGTGTGAAAAATATGGTAGACATTCCCACGCAAACATGCCGCAGCGAGTTGAGTGTCCTGAAAAGCATAAAACCAATGCATTATTATTAGGTCAGCACTACATCATGTACGGAATCTGGAAGGAAGCTGAAGTAAATATAACAAACTACCTATTCATGCCTAAACTTAACGAGCCATTCCCTTAAAATAACCCCAACTCACCCTTAACCCTAACCTTAACCACTTACTCAGACCCACCTTAACCCTAACCTTAACCATGTTACTCAGACCACCTTAACCCTAACCTTAACCATCTTACTCAGACCACCTTAACCCTAACCTTAACCACTTACTCAGACCACCTTAACCCTAACCTTAACCATGTTACTCAGACCACCTTAACCCTAACCTTAACCATGTTACTCAGACCACCTTAACCCTAACCTTAACCATCTTACTCAGACCACCTAAAACTTAACCATTCACCACTTTAGGACTTATTTGTCTAAATCGAATTCGAAAGTAGGATTGTTACTTCCGGTTTCGTCCCGATTCCGTATATGATCTAGTGCCGACCATCATTATTATTAGTGGTTAGCACCTGTGCTCCAGGCTTTTCTGTGTGGAGTTTACAGGTTCTCCACGTGTCTGCATTGGTTTTCCCTACCACTAAAAAAACATGGCCTGCACCTCCTGTAAGAAAGTAAGAATCCTTGATTATATGACGCATTCTACAGACCAAGGTCATCCAAATCGCTTTACAATGCCCTGTATACAGGCGACCCCGCTCACATGTGTGGAGTGAGAGGAAAAATGCCCACAACAATTATAAAGCACCTTTTGAAAGATGCTATATAAGTAAAGGACAAACACTTGCATATCGGTCGCATTCGAAAATAAGCCGCAGCTTTCATGTCGTAATGTATCACTTAACTAACAGCTGAGCTAAACAACGCCGTTTGACTGTTTGCACTGAACACAACATGATTAAATTATGATGGGTTTTAACGCACTGTTGACTCGTGATGTCATAATATTAAGACAAAATATGAAGTTCATAAACTCTGTTCTGTTAATAGCCCTAATCACATAACATCACATCCTGTTCACATAAACATAAACACACTGTGCTACATGTGCAGGTAATTAAGGCTGTGTCCAAATATGTTCCTGGACCACATTGGGCGCAAAGGCTGCAGAGCTCAATCTCCTGCAAGTGTTAAATTTCACATGTAGGATACCCATACACAACATATAATATAATTCATTTTAAAATGTGTGTATAAACAAGATGGTGAATGATAATCCATTGTTTCTGTTTTTCTTGTTCCATGTGTCTCCTCAGGACCTGTTAGCGTAGTGTGGCTAATGGAAGCTAACTGGTCTATAGCTCCAGCCCATATTAACACCTGCTTCTGCTGTCTGTGCGGTGGAGGACGGACTGAGCGTCACTGATGGAGAGAGCAGCTGAAGGGACCCAGAGCCTTGTTTTTTTACTTAACCTGAAGAAAATGATGTTTCTTTTATGTTGGGGCATTTTAACTTGTCTGTTCATTTCAATTCCATAACAGGATTTGTCAAGACTTCCATGTTTCCTATAGCAATGAGAAACGTACGGGATATGCTTTTCATCGAAGGGGTCCTCACCAGCCGAGCTAAAGATCGGAGATGTACCCCCCGTATATTTAGTGCACACGTACAAACAATATGTATGCACATTTTTAGATTTATTTTTTAGAATTTGATGATCAGTCATTTCCAGTGTCCCGTCTCTGCTCTCCTTTTTGAGTGTGTGAACTTGAAAGACTTGAATTTTTGCCAAAGCACTTTTATTGTTTCTGGTTTTCGCGGTGAGGAAGAAAAATGAAACTTAAACTCAGTCCAGCTGCACCATAGTGTTACTTGAACGTTCTACTTTTAACAAGGGCCTTTACAGCCTGTGTAGTCGCTAGTGATTTTAATATCCACATATCCAATAATCACATTCCAAACGCAATTTTGACAGATCTTTCCAATTTACCGACATCAAATAAAAATGTAAATGTTTTCTTTATGATATTGAGGCCATAAAAAATGGTTATAAATAATGGGTAAATACTGTATTAAGATTAATCACTGATATAAATACAAATATGTGCAATATATTCCTTTCAGAAAACACCTTCAGGATGATGATGCTGTACATTAGAAGTCCTGTGATAAAGTGTGGCCACATTGTTAGGTACCTCTGCTTCAGAATACTCATTTCTGGTCTTATATAAATATATATTTTATTTTGAAGTCTAAGTATTTTGATTTCTGTTGACTCCCAGTAATCTGATGTGTAAGAAGCCCTTTTGTATAATCCAATATAGTGTATTTCATTTGTTATTATGCTTGTATTTGTACAGTTGGTTCGAGGCAGAGGCCTTGGAGAGATGCTGGTGCCTGGTTATAGCTTACGGTAATTGCTGGACTATGAGCCACTACATTTTTCTTGTCATTTTCCTACATAGCTATTCAGTGTATGTAGTTTGCCGGAGCATAGGAAGGGACTCGGACACAGCTCTATCAGCTGCCGATCTCCAGAGCTGATGATGCAGCACACATGCTGCTGCTTTTGTGTTTATGCGGACAGTGAGACATGAGTAAGTGCAGAGGGATACACAGGACCTGTTTTTTATGCGATTCAGGCTGTTGTCAAAGCAGATTATGGAGTTATTAACTGACTTTAATTTTAGCATCTATAGGATGCACGTTTATTACCAAAATAGTCTGGATTTACCAGAGTTCTTTGATCATCACAAGTCAATTGTGTGTTTAAAACATGATGTCCAGTTAAAAAGTCTAATCCTTTTGCTCAGCCTTTGTTTTGGTTTTACATTACGACATGCAAACCTGCGGCTTATATTCAAGTATTCAGTGTGGCCTATATGTAGATCAAATTAACTTTCTTTTCTAGTTTAGTTGGTGTGATTTATATACAGGTCGGCTTAATAGTCCAGCAAGTACTGTACATGCTAATTCACCTTAATCATTTTTCTTTTAAAGCATTCCAATACCTATTCCAATGTGTGTAGCTCTTGTAGAGGTTGTGTTTTAACGACTTCAAATAATTCAAACATGGAATATGAGGAAGTTGTGAAATCGGGTTTGTAATATTTTGAATGTCTCTTGCAGCTGCTCAGAGGGGTAACATCTCATTCAATACAGCTGTGATTTGTATGAGAGATCTATAGCCTTTATTTTTCATGACTTTTACTTTTCTACTAGAATTACACCTCTTTGGAAAACAATATACTCCCAGTAAGATAAGCTATTCTGAAAAGCTGGTCATTTTCTCAAGGATGTTTTCAGCCATTTTTACTGAAAAGAAAGATGTTTGCACTGTAACTAAAGATCTGTGAAAAGGTTGCATCTGTCTACCTTCTCTTGGCAAACTTCTACGTGTATCTTTTATTTTTTTAATGAAGGGGCCATGAGTATTTGTCTTTCATTACTTTCCTATTTTACTTTGTTTGTTGTAAAAAAAAAAAAAGTGGGACCTGAGGTGAATTGTTCTTCTGCATTAGATAGTTTTGTAACAGAAAGAATACATCTCTTTTACAACCAAAGTGTGTTTGTCTGTTCATTATTACACATTTATAGATAAGACCTAAATGACCTAAACGTCCAAAATGTCATATCTAAAACTGTCTCTCCAGCTGCTGAACTTCCAGTATTTTATTCCGCAAAACATTTGCTAAAAACAATTGAAACTGTTTTGTAGGCAATGCAAGGCAAGTTTATTTTTACAGCAGTTTTTACACAAAGCAACATTATACTAGAAACCTTAAAAACACACAAGGCATGTTTATGACCCATTATTTTTGTATCTGCTCTCATATAAAGACATTTGTGGTGCTACTTTTTTGTTTGTGAGAATTGTAAATTCAAATCAGCTTAATTTCTCCTAACAAACTTTTAACCCGAATGAGAACCTCATCAGGTACATTGTACTCTTCTTGATTCTGGACTGGTTCTGAATCTAGTCAGCGTGGTTTTTCCACCAGATAAGTTACCATAGCAACACAGTTTTTTCAATATTGTATTTCTGTTGTATTTCAGTTATATTCACCAGTTTTACCACTTATTTAAAAAGGTAAAGACCGTAAAAATGTCTTACTTAAAAAAAAATAATAATAAAAAAAAAGTCTCCGTTTAACTGTTCAGTCAGTTCAGTGTTTTTCAGATTTCCAGTTGTCTTGAAACCTGGCGACCCTCGCGCACACCGTTATCGACGCCAAGTGCATAACTAAAGTGCATAAATCCATTAGAAAGAAGAGGATAATCCGCAGATGAACTGAGCAGGAACAACACAAACATAAGGTGGTATATATGTTTTTCTTTTTTGTGTGTACTTTATTCAAATTGACGGTAACTGCTAGGAAAGTGACCGAATGGCATAGCGGTTATTTTAATATAACTATGTGACAAAAACACTTTTAGACTTTTAGAGATGATTAGTCAACAAAAAGAACCTGGAATCTGCTATCGAACACGTTTCCAGATTGGTTTTTTGTTGAGAACTTCGTAACGAGCTTTAACTGCGTAATAACTAGCTAGCTGACGTTAGCGGCTAATGCTAAATCACGTCATAAGGTCGGAACTGGTAACCATAGAGATGACGCAAATGGGTATTTATTAGGGTTATTTCTGACATTGAATCAGAGATTCATTTTTACAATCAGGATTAGGAGTAGTTTGGTTAAAGTCAGGGGTCTGATCCAGCCTGCTGTGGGACGGTCCGTGTATAAAGTAGGATTCATGTTGTATTACCAGTTGGAGAAGTTAAGAATAGAAATAGCGTTACTCTTTTGGTGAGGTTCAGTTTAGGAAGTGGACCAACAATGGAGAGATACTGTTTTCCCTCTTGTTAAGGTTTATTGCCAATGCAGGAGGGATGCGCTGACAAACTCGAATGCACCATGGGTATGTGTGGTTTACGCAGTATAAAATAACACACGAATATCCATTCAAAAATACAAAGTTAAAAAGGTTTATTTAACAAGTTGCAGGCAAACAACAACAATACTGAATCTTCTTGAACTGGTTAAAAAAAAAACTATAGGCCCACTCAGGTAATGAAGGCCCCTGTACAGCCACTAAACTAAACTGAAGTAAACCCAATATAATCTAAAAAAGGGTAAGGAGTGCTGCGTGGTACAACTGGAAGAGGGGTTTAACTTAGTAACCAAAAATGTAGTTTTGACTTTCCAGGTAAAAAGCAAATGGTGAAGAACTCAGAAAATCAAAAAATCCAAGGCACTCGTGGTCAGTAGTTTAGAACAGTTTAAAAAGCCTTTATTTTCTCAGGGCTGTGGATTAAAATACACACCAACGCGTTTCAGCGTAGCTTGGACTTCTTCAGGGTGCAATATATATATATATTACTCAGTGAATGTCTCAGGCAGTGGCGAGATGAGGAGGTGCTGGAGGAGAGCCCATCATGGGAGAACAAGCCCCTACACGGCATGTACCACCGGAGCCTAACAGAAGTGGCTGATCTCAAGAAGTCCTACCAATGGCTAGAAAGGGCTGACCTACAGGACAGCACAGAGGCACTCATCATGGCTGCACAGGAACAGGCCCTGAGCACCAGAGCGATAGAGGCCCAGATATACCACACCAGACAAGACCCAAGGTGTCGGTTGTGCAAAGAGGCACCTGAGACGATCCAACACATAACTGCAGGGTGCAAGATTCTGGCAGGGAAGGCCTACATGGAACGCCATAACCAAGTGGCTGGTATAGTGTACAGAAACATCTGTGCAGAGTATGGGCTGGAAACCCCAAGGTCTAAGTGGGAAACTCCTCCAAAGGTGGTGGAGAATGAGCGTGCAAAGATCCTGTGGGACTTCCAGATACAGATTGACCGAATGGTAATGGCGAACCAACCTGACATTGTGGTGGTGGACAAAGGGCAGAGGACAGCCGTGGTGGTGGACGTGGCAAATCCAAGCGATGGTAACATCCGGAAAAAAGAACATGAAACGCTTGAGAAATACCAAGGTCTCAGAGAGGAGCTGGAGAGGGCCTGGAGGGTAAAGGTGACAGTAGTGCCCGTGGTGATCGGTGCACTCGGGGCAGTGACCCCGAAGCTAGAAGAGTGGTTACAGCGGATCCCCGGAACAACCTCGGACATCTCGGTCCAGAAATGTGCAGTGCTAGGAACAGCAAAGATACTGTGCAGAACCCTCAAGCTCCCAGGCCTCTGGTAGAGGACCCGAGCTTAGAGAGGGATAACCGCCCGCGGAGGGCCAAAGGTGAGTGGACAATTTTTTTTATATATATATATATATAATATATATAATCTAATCTACAAAAATGTCTAATTTACCAAAAAAAAACTTTAGCATGACTTAACGAAATATAGAATGATATACAAAACAAACCCCCCCAAATACATTCCATTAATTTAGCCCACAAACAAATAGCTCCTACAACATTTATTAACACATGCACAATGGTCATCCTGTTCCTCCTCCATTTTTTTTGGTTTGTTATAATTGCACTGGATGTATGGACATTTGGAGAATTAAGGTGAAATGTAGACGAACATTATTACTGTCACGGCGTATTGCCAGTAATTTGCATAAATAATTATTATCAATCAATAAACCGTTATTTGTATAGCGCTTTTGCTACTATGATACTGATTGGTTTATTTTAGCCCCAAAGGTACTCTCTGTTCTCTTCAATGTGCTGCAGCAACTGCTCAAGCCATACTGTAGCCGTAGTCATAGAAGATATTATAGATCCATGGTCGCAGATCATACAGTAAGAGATTGGTGTTCTTTGTTTTGGAGGCTTCGAAAAGTCATCGCAATAATATAGAATAGCGCTGTTTCCACCAACCCCACTTCGCCCTCTACTCTACCCTGATTGGGAGCGTTTCCAATGGCCCTGGTTAACCGATAACAGGTCATGTTTTAAGACGCACATTCTCTAGTTTTCAGACGCAGGGGTCTTCACACCAGAACGTCCTGACCAGTGCCGGAAGTAGCCGGCCGGCTCTGATGTTAACAGAGTTATGCTAGCGGCTTCTCGTGTAAAGATCTTCTCCAATAATGCAGCTTGGCAGGGTGTCTGTTCAGAGACCTTCCACGGACTTTATAACAGTAGTATGTGTTCGCGGAGGTGCGCAATATGTTTATTTTATTATTAAACGGTACTTCCGCATTGGCGAACACACTTGGAGCAGTTGAATAAAGTCATGGGAGTATGACAACGCATATATTCACAAGCACACAGTCCCCCATTGTCAACCCTGGTATAGTCCTGATGTAGCTCCTGTTTTGGCTGTTAACAGTATGTTCAGTCTGCTCGCTCAGACCACCAATGTCCCCGTGACCACTTTGCGGCTCTCTGATCGGTCGCTGCATGAACGTCCCGAGGAAAGGTTGAGCAAAATTCATCTCCTGTGGGCGTCGATTTTCTGCTCCTGCTCCTCCCCTTTGACTTTCCCGCGCAGTCCGTGCGTCTCTACTGCGCGGGCCGTGCGTGCCGAGAGGTCCATGCGTTTTCATGCTCGAACGCGCGTCACCATTGACTTTGCATTGAAAGCAGACGCAACGCATGATCCGGTCTGAACGCGGCGTTAGTCCCTGCTTAGATTTATTTTTAGTCAGGCCGAGCTCTTTCTCAATTGTTCTAACTGACAGTAATTGTGGAAGCAACAGTGTGCCATGGTTTCCTTATGGTTATGTGAATGTCCACGGTTATTTTGTGGGTAGGTTGCAAGGATTCAGTACCAGATACTAAAGTGTAATTGAAACACAGAGCCGAGTAGGGCTGGTGGAAACTGGGCTTTTCCACTACTAGGATGTCAAGGATACAATTTACATGTGATGCACATCAAAATCGATTTATCTAACAAACATAAACAGAATCTAACATAGGGTTGAAGAGAATTGTCTGACTTTGTAATGTAACTGCTTCTCTGGCTTTCCACTTCTTCTTTTCTGCTCTGTCTGGACTGGACCCAGACTAGACCCAGCATGGCTTGTATCAGAAAGAAACTGCGCTTCAGCCGAGTCCTGGCTTTTGTCTGTTTGATCCTGGTTTGGTTCTATACCTTCTTACCGAGTCTTCCAGACCTACGTCCTGTGGCAATTGATCGGACCCTTCGAGACCTGACGCCAGACCTGACCTCGGATTTGGACCAAAACCAGGTGAGAGCTTAGAGCCTCATTTGTCATTTGAAGTGTTACACAAACAAATCATAAACATGCTAGCTAAAGAAGAAAAGTCACGTGTCTTCTAAAAGATATTCCTTCTTTGACCATCAACAGTCCCAGGCTGAAGTCCAGAGTCAGACTGAGCCTGCTGTGACGACCCGTGAGAACCGAACCAGCACCGAGAAGACTTGTGCTTGTGCTTGTAATTGCACAGATCCAATTAAGCGATCCTCTAAGAAAATCACAGAACGATCTGAGGAGACGTAAGACCGTGTTTGACCAGGTTTATTCTTTGAACAGGCACTGTTTGCACCGTTGGGCAAGATTCTTGCATACAGTTTCTCACTTTAGGGCTTACACAGAAGATGTATTATTGAAAACCTAGTATAATGGTTCTGACCCACATGACTTTACTGAGATTGTTCTTCTAATCATGACAGTGGTTTCAAATAGCTTCCATGTACTAATTTGTTGCAACATATCAGGCTGAATTTGGGCTCTTCTGTGTTTCTGTGATTAGTAGTGCATAATTAGTCATAGAATAACCTTAAATGAACAATAGATGTACAGTTGTCCCTTGTTTATTGCGGAGATTACCTTCTAAACCCCTCACACATTATACACTTATCCTAACTACCTGAAGGAGCTGGAGCAGGACTGAGGGCTATGGAAAGACCTCTGGACTAATGGCCGCGGTGCATAGACCAGAGAGACATTAGACAGAAACCAGATACAAAGGCCAAGGAGAGAGAGACAAAAGTTTTCTGCTAACTTTAAAAAAAATTATCTGTATACTAATAGTTATATGATGTTGGAGTATACATGCAGAGATAATCATCATCAAAACACACACACAAAATTGCACACAAACAGCAAGGCCTCGAAAGGTGAACCGCGTTGTAGTAAGGGACCACTGTATAGAATCTATTTAAGCATTATAGTATGAGCAGGTATTGAGGAGGTACAGTAATGCTCAGGTTATATTTGCTTCTTGTGTTCATAGGCAAGGCGATTACCCAAGAGACATTATCTCTCTGCAGCAGAGGAAGAATGGCTGGGTCGTGCTCCACGTGATCGGAATGGTGTACATGTTTGTGGCCTTGGCAATCGTTTGCGATGACTTCTTTGTTCCCTCTTTGGAGGTCATTACAGAGAAACTAGAGATATCTGACGATGTTGCCGGGGCGACCTTCATGGCTGCTGGGGGATCTGCTCCTGAACTGTTCACCTCTTTGATCGGCATTTTCATCGCTCACAGTAACGTGGGCATCGGGACCATCGTCGGCTCCGCTGTGTTCAACATCCTGTTTGTGATTGGGATGTGTGCAGTGTTCTCCCAGGAGACTCTGAGTCTGACCTGGTGGCCCCTGTTTCGAGACGTGTCGTTCTACGTTGTGGATCTGTTGATGCTGATCCTTTTCTTTCTTGACAATATCATAATGTGGTGGGAGAGCTTTCTTCTGATGCTGATGTACTTCTTGTACGTGGTGTTCATGAAGTTTAACGTTCAGATTGAGAGGGCTGTGAAGTCATGCCTCTTGAAACCCACAAACAAGGTGAGAACCACATGAGCCACTGACTGGCTGCATCCAGCCACATTTGACTGTTTTTAAAATGTAAAGTTTCAGAATGGATTTTATGAATATAAATGTACCAGGACATAGATTTATTTTATTAAGGCCCTCTAGTGAATCAGCCACCTACTCTCTCTACGCTAGTTATATTCCCATAGTTTTATCTCAGTGTCTGTGACGGTGCTGGCCTGTGCAAGGGGTAAAAGTGCTGTGTAGTGTTACTTTTCAATTCAATTTAATGTATTTGTGTAAAGCCCTAAATGACAGCATTTGTCAATTCGCCAACAAAAGATCAGAGAATAAAACCGTTCGAACACAGGAAGCCATTGGTCCATAGGGAGCGTGAGGACCACTGTCCAGAAATGTCCCGGATTATATTTGCACATACAGTGTATATAACTTGAATACAGCACAAAGTCAATAGGCTGTTCTTCTGAACAGAGCAGAGCAGAACCTGTGAATATTGTTTCTATTTTTATCTTTTCTCATTGACAGGTGTCAGAAGCACCAGCTCCTTCTGCTCCTGCTGCCAAAGTGGACCCAGAGGTATTTGAAGCTGTTCTTCTGCAGATGTATAGATAATCTTTCTTAGTTCATTTATGGAATCTTAGAAAGCCAAATGTTTATTAGTTGACTAATTATTTGTAGAACAACAGGTGTAAACTTCAAGCTACCTCTGTACATAGTATTTAGCATTGAGGAACTGGGGAAAATGCCAGATTAGTTGTTACAGATGCTAGGCAAGGCAAGGCAAGGCAAGTTTATTTATATAGCACAATTCATACACAAGGCAATTCAGGAACTGGGGAAAATGCCAGATTAGTTGTTACAGATGCTAGGCAAGGCAAGGCAAGGCAAGTTTATTTATATAGCACAATTCATACACAAGGCAATTCAAAGTGCTGAACAAAACAAGAAAGCATTAAAATCATAAATTATCACAGAACATTAAAAAGAAAGATAAAAATATAAAATCCCTCAGTTGTATGCACAGTTAAACAGAACCGTCTTTAACCTGGTTTTAAACATTGTCAGAGAGGAGGCCTGTCTCACATCTTCAGGAAGACTGTTCCAGATTTTAGCAGCATTAATCTGAAAAGCAGCCTCCCCATGTTTAGTTCTGACTCTGGGCACTAACAGGAGTCCAGTCCCTGTGCTCCTCAGAGTCCGGGCTGGTTCATATGGGACTAACATGTCACTAATATATTTTGGTGCGAGGCTATGGAGAGACTTGTACACAAGCAGAGCTGTTTTAAAGTCTATTCTCTGAGCCACAGGAAGCCAGTGCAGAGACCTGAGGACTGGACTAATGTGGTCGTACTTCCTGGTTCTTGTCAGGACTCGAGCTGCTGCATTTTGAATGTACTGCAGCTGTTTTACAGCCTGTTTGGACAGACCTGTGAGCAGGCCATTGCAGTAGTCTAACCTACTGGAGACAAATGCATGGATAAGAATCTCCAAGTCTGCTTTAGACACTATGTTTTTGATCCTGGCAATGTTTTTTAGATGGTAAAAAGCTGCTGATGTTACTGATTTGATGTGGCTATTAAAATTTAAGTCTGAGTCCAGTATTACCCCTAGATTTCTGACCTTGCTACCACTAACTCTTTAAGTGGCAGATGCCGGCGGGTGCAGAAGAGGACAATGGCACGTTCAGTCTGAGTTGGCCACAGACCCGGGTCCAACGGATCTCGTACGTCATTAAACTGCCCATCTTGCTTCTCCTGTGGCTTACTCTTCCTGATGTCCGAAAAGCTGTAAGAAAACACATTTCACCGAATACACAATCATACAATAGTTTTTCAGAACTGGGCTCATAAAAAAGAGAAAACATATTTAGATGTATTACAAGGCAAGGTTCAGTATTACAGTACTTTATTTATGATGTATTTTGATACGTATGATTTTAATATGAGATGGAAGTTGTTGCTATCTATCAATGTGAACTTTTGGAGTGTTGAGATTGTACACTGATTCCAAACAACAGACACAGACTGAACCACATGAAACTGGTGAAATATTTTGTGTGAAGTGCGTTTGAGTAAAAATGCAGATACATTTCTCCATTTACATTTAGCAATAACAGCTTTGTGCAGTCACACACACATGTGTATGTGTGACTGTACAATATATAAGTAAATATTATTTTTCTGACTTTATAATAACAATAAAGTTTAACCTTATCTATTCATTAAGATCAGCTATGACGTACACAAGACTCTTGTCCTGGACCAGTCCTGGTCTAGTCCTTTTTCTAGTCCTGGACCAGTCCTGGTCTTTTCCTTTTTCTAGTCCTGGTTTAGTCCTTGTCCAGTCCTGATCCAGTCCCAGAGGCTCTACTGAATAGAATAGAATTTGGAGATCTCAAGTTTGGTCCCAAACTTGAGATCTCCAAATTCTGGACGGGTTTGTCACATCAATACTGTGACTCATCATCCATGCATTGAAGTTTGGATCTTGTTTTTTCCTCCACGACCTGAATCCCCCACGCGCTCTCGATACAGTTCAATCCTCCATGGTCAGGGACTGTCCTTGTAGAACCAGTGGGATTGCACCCTCAAAGTGCAGGTGCAGTGCAGGGAATTGTGACTTTTTATGTAAGAGCAAAACTTCAGCCATGAGCACTCCCCTTGTAGGCTGCATTGATCTAGCAGGTTAGCATGTCCATCTATATACAGTCCTGACAGTGGTCTGTTCTTCAGGCTAAAACAAAGTGGTTCCCTTGGACTTTCCTCGGCTCCATCCTGTGTATTGCGGCCTTCTCGTACCTCATGGTGTGGTGGGCCCATCAGGTGAGTCTTACTCTGACCAAAACAATGACCTCCTCACACAGACACACACACAAACACATACATGTCAACAATACACTCAGGATCTTTTATTTGCTTTATAAATGGTAATCAAAGGGCTGTTCTCTATTCTACCAAGTACTTATATTGTATTGGAATAATTGTGATTTCAAGAATAGAACCCAAAATCTTAACACATTATATCAGATATGGGGAAACCAGTGAATCCAACACATGAAAGAGTGGATTTGGATTATTTGTGTTTATTATGATTACTGTGGGTTTTTTTTCTTCAAATTAGAACATAATTTGTTAAACTAAACGCCACTTTGCTATTCATGTGTTTCATTAGCAGCTTAAGGTTTTCATCTCTCAGGTTTACGTCATCTGCACTGTTAAAGGTCCCATATTACGCTTTCCTCTGCTTTAAGCATAATTACTATGCTATTTTGCCTTCATACAAATGCGATTTTGTGAGAGGCAGCAAATTGATAATTGCTGCTTTTCTTTTCACAAAAGTATTGATCTGCTTGTTGATTACAATTTGAATAATATTGATACTATTATTCTGTTAGTGAACAAGCTGCCATTATGAATTCCTAATTGTGTATTGGTAATCAGAATCAAAAGATTAAGATGAAGAGATATCCCTTTATTTCAGTGTTGCATCCGAACAGTCGGAATAAGGAGCATACAACAAAAGAGAAGTGAATAGTATTGCACAACAAAATACTTAATAAAGAAACAAAGTATAACAAGTATGCACATATACCTGTATTCTCTCGTGTAAAGAAATATATACTTGTTTGTATATGTCTGTAATAATGCAAGAATATTGGTATGATATGGTTTGTACTTTCTTTGAACGGGGACAGTGTACAATTAAACATTAACACAAGGGAGAGATGCATTGCACCAGGTTATAGCAAAGATGCTAATTTCCACCTTAGTATTGAAGTAATAAGTCATTAGCTCTATGGGTTCAAATATTCACTGTGATAAACTATTGTACATATTAGCAGCATGAGGCTCTGGGCTAAAATTGACAAAAATGCACATTCATAAAATAACAAAACCTTTCGAATAATTGAAAATAAGACACATGTTTTAAGAACTCCCAATCGAGCAGCCACATGCCGCCCTCTACAGGTGGGGGAGACAATCGGCATCACAGAGGAGATCATGGGCCTGACCATCCTAGCGGCCGGCACATCTGTCCCAGACCTGATCACCAGCGTCATCGTTGCCCGAAAAGGCTTGGGGGATATGGCTGTGTCCAGCTCTGTGGGCAGCAACATATTTGACATCACTGTAGGGTAAGTTTGTTATCAGTGCTCCGTCTTAAAATCCATTATAGAAATAGATATAAACGCTATATAAATGTAAGCTCTGTTTGTTCCCAGTCTGCCTCTTCCCTGGCTCTTGCACACGGCGATAAACGTGGAAGCGCCTGTGGTTGTCAGCTCCAATGGGCTCTTCTGTGCTATCCTCCTGCTGTTTGGGATGCTGCTCTTCGTCCTCATCTCCATCATCTGGTGTCGCTGGAAAATGAGCCGCACTCTGGGTCTCATCATGTTCTTCCTGTACATGATGTTTCTCCTGCTGAGCGTGTTACTGGAAATTAAAGTCATTCCATGCCCTGTATCTGTTTAAGATAACAGAAAATGTATTGTATTCCTGTTAAAAACTTGTATCTATTTTGATGTGTTTGAATTTATATTTAAAGCAGGTTTAGTGATGCCGCAAAAATGACATGAATTAAAAAAAAAAATCTTGTGTTAATAAAATGACTTGAATACTTTTAGTCTTTTTTGTGTCTCAAGAAGCCTATGAATGTAACTGATCACACAACCAAGGCCAAACAAGCAATAACCATTAATAATACAATATAAAGCAAACCACAACCCATAATGTTTGTGAGTAATAACTACAACCTCATGTTATGGATAGTGACAGTAAAGCTGGGCTACCTACCCATCCTCTAATGACACTTCCAGGAGCAGTGCATTTGAGAAGTGCAGTATTATGTCAAGCTGTGCAAAAAGTAACAGAGGTAAAAATGCTATAGTGGAAAAAAGTAAAACCGTGTACTTTACAGGACATGTTATGATGATCACGTATGCAGTGAAAGTGCAGACATTAACCAGAAGGTGGCGCTGCTCTCGTCCTTTCCGGAAGTTTCCTTTTTTGAATCTAAAGCTAGCTGTCATTAGCACACATGATAATAGTGTGTTTTTTGTACTTGTTATTGTAATATTTGTGCTTTTAATTATTATTAGGGCAGCAATGTAGTGACTCACGATACCACGGTAAGACTGCGTATTCATTAGAGTCTCTTATGTACTTTTATTTCAAAGCTAGCTTGTTGCTTGGCTATATGTTAGCACGCTAGCTACATCCATTTGACACGCTTATTTCCTGAGGTTTTATTCAACAAACGCTTTTAAAGAATGTTTGTGACTTAGTTATTCCATTATTTGTTATTAAAATATCTTTGTGTCCACTTTGTTGTGAAAGCTAAAGGTAAACTGCGTAAATAATGTTATATCTAGCCTAATGTTCACAAGCTAGTTATATCAAAGAAAGCGACATTGTTTGCGTTCAGAAAATACTGCACTATAACATGTTTTCATCTGCTGAAAGTTACTACCTTGTTGCAAAAGTGGATTTAGTCCAGTTACTGTTATAACTATTGATAGGCATGTAATTATAAAATGATAATGCAAAATGTTAATTTTCACAAACTGTAACATTCAAATGTATGTTTAATGCATGTAAAATTCCTTACGAGACTTAATGAACTGCCTTTTTTAACGCGTGACTTCTTCACATAAGTGACAGCTGTCTGATCCTTTCTAGACCTCTTTGGGGTACTATGAGTTCCCAAACATCGCAACTTCTTGCACCAGCCTCAGCATGCAGGGCGTTACCTGGGGAGGGCAATCAGGTATGCGAGAATGCGCCAAAGTTTTTGTGCAGTTTTAAAAGTATTTAATTATTTCCATTTGCAGGTGCAGCCTAAAGCCCCGTTGCTCCAGATCCTGCGTGTCGCTGGGGCACAGGAGGACATTTTCACTTTGAAAGAGGTAATATAGAATTGTGTGTGCATATTTAAATGCGATGCATGTCACTTGTCAGGAACCTTAACTGCTGTATACAGGAAGCACTTGATGCACAAGATCCTGTATCATTTATGAATGGATATATAAAAGTAGTATTTCCTGTCCTTTGTTCAGGTGATGCATTACCTGGGACAGTACATCATGGGGAGACAGCTGTACGACAAACAGCGGCAGCACATCGTTCACTGTCAGGATGACCCTCTGGGAGAGCTGTTGGAGGTCGAGAGCTTCTCCGTCAAAAACCCCAGGTGCGAAAACACAAACGTATCTGTCACAAGAGCAAACATGTATTTAAACACTTCTTCACTAATCATTTTAAAAAGTAATTATGTGTTGTTAATGTGACGTTCCTCTTTACTACAAAATATGTTTTAGTATCTTTGTACTAAACTAAAGTCCCTTTTTGTAAATGTCAATATATATTTTTTTACAGCCCTGTTTATGAAATGCTGAAGAAGAACTTGATTGTACTAGGTATGTAACCTTTTACTAAACCCTATCATAAATGCAATATTTCCTGCACTTTTGGTATGGGGCATGATAAATTAGAGGCTAAAATGAGCGAAGAATCCTTTTCGACAGTAAGTTCACATGTCAGAATACATACATAATATCTTTCAGTCCACAGATGTGTTTGGGAGGGGTCGCAGATATAGAGTGTGTACTGTTGTAATAAAGGGAGGGATTGTACTCTTTCTGTTCCTGTCTCGTCCTAAATGCAGACGCCGCTGAAAATGAGTCTGTGCGCCGCAAGTGTGTAGGGGGCGGAGTGGAGGACCGCGGTCAGGTAAAACAAACCTGGTGCTGGAGAAACAGAGTTCCACAAGCATCCGGCCTCTGACACACAAGAGACGAGCGTTACCTCAAGCTGTGGATGTATGTAGTGATCAGGCTAGAATCAATGAGTTGGGAATCTTAGTGGAAACAAATCTATGGTTTTCCTTTTCTTTTGTCAGAACTATTCATGTTATAAAATTGTAAACATGATACACGGAAGTAATCCAATATCCTTCTGCTTTTGTTTGGGTCATTAAAGATATTAGACTTTTTAATTTGTCATACAATGTCTTATAACGTGAAATACTATCTTAATGGTAGCATAGGGACAGGCAAAGGGCAATGTTTACCCTTCATGCTTCACCACCAGAGGTAGGAGTTTTGTGTAAAATTTAGTTTTTTTCCCTTTTCAAAGTAGAAAAATCCTAAAAGAGCATCTTTTCACTTGAGAACTTTCCCAATAATTGGCTGCATTTTTTATTTGTTTTTTCCTTAAATACTGTTAAGCCATTTCATCCTAATATTTACATTTAATTTCTATATATATATATTTTGTTTTAACAATTAGGCAAGTAAAATATGAGTTGCAGGGTTAGTCCTTTCTCCAGATTACTTAGTGTGAGAGTAGGAGCTCTTGTGTGGGGGCTGGATGCCTCGGGCTGCTGCCTCTTGTTCTTCTGTGTACAGAGCTGCACCGTCTCTGTACAGCCCTGTCCTGCTGCGGCGGGACGGGCGGGCAGAGTCTGTCTGTCCCAGAGTCTCCTTCTCTGCTTCAGTCGGACCCTCCACTGCTCCACGTTCTGTCACTGGCCTCTGTAAACAGCTGCCCTCATCCTCCCACCTGCTCAGTGTACCCATGTCTCATCCTAGTACAGACAATTACCCCCACCTGTCCCTGTAGATAAGAGAACCTTTATTCGTCCCACAGTGGGGAAATCTCAACATTGCAGCGCACATACAGGAAAGTAATAAGCGCACGCAAGAAGAACACAAAATATACAGGGCTAAGTTGCTGCAAATGCTTCATAAGACCAGCAAGTGTGTATATATATATATATATATATATATATATATATATATATATAATGTGTGTATATGGACAATGTGTCTTAGTCTGGCACCAATGACTGCTAATGGGAGTCCCCATTTTAAATGAACTGAATGTTTAAAGTTTGAATCGATATTGATAATAACATTATATCAACAGTTTTTCCCCCCCCCCTCACCCCCCCTAACCCCCTCCCTCCCCCTAACCCCCTCCCTCATGTCTCCAGAATCATTGATATTAAAGGTGGTCTGTAACGGGAGCAGAGTTTGGTCCGAGTGCACAGTCCTGGCTCAGTTCCTAATTGTCATTTCTACTTCTTGGTTATTTCGTGTTTAGGGCTGTGGGGGTGTGGTCAAAGCAGAGGCACCTCTCTTGCAGACCCCCTCCCAGCGGCGCCCGCGGGACCCAGATGATGGTGAGTTACTGTAATATTGATACATTTTTCTTTGTTTTGAAAAGGATGTTTTTTTTAAGTGTTTGACATAAGCAGCAAGTGAGTAATGGGCACAGGCTTCATGAGAAATATGTGACGGCCATGTTATTTAGCATGTGCTCTGAGTGTCTTTTTTTATTCTAAAATCCATGGCAATCTGGGAAAAAGCTGGATCTTTTTCTTTTAATCAATATCTATTTTCAACTGTTTATTTTTGTTTTTGTTTTTATTGAAGTCAGACATTGAAGTTCCAAAGAAGAGTAGTGCTTAGTTCTTTCTCAAATGGGAATAATTTTAATGCATCGTTTGGCTTTTCAGTAATTTGTTATTGTGTGAATTGTCATAAATGAAAAACTAAGTGACATCAACAAATGGATTTAGTTTGGAAACTACCTATTTGTCACAAACATCCACCTGAGGAATGTAAAACTATTGTGTAGCATTACAGTACTTCCTACATTATAAGCCATTTCTCTCTTTGTAGCTGTGTCAAATTGGTTATCTTCAGGTCCAGATAATGTGGCCAATATCTGTGCGAAATGTACTTTCTCTTTAAATTCAGCGGCTGCAGTTTATAAGCAGGTGGGCTTAATAGCCCAGCAATAGCCAGAACTGCAGCCTTGTTGTTCTTTTCCACCAAATCTTTCCTTGAGGCCCTCAAAGTTTTAAATGTCTGAATCTTCTCCTCAGACTCGTGCGACGGCCTCCCACGCTCCGCCTGTAAACGGCCCAAACTGGACGTGTCTCTGGACGAGTGGGACCTGTCCGGTCTGCCTTGGTGGTTTCTGGGTAATCTCAGAAACAACTACAGCAGGCGAAGTAATGGCTCCACAGACATCCACACTAACCAGGTGAGAGGCGGCAGTGAAAAAGGCACCGACTTCAATTCCTTTTATTCATGTAGTTCATTGAGCAGCATTTGTTTAGCTTCAATATGTTTACACTGTTAAAGGTTTTGCAAGTAACTTAAAATGTAATATGCAGAAAAATATTGCAGAACTAGTTAAATCTGCATTGCTTTAAGAGCCATTTGGCGCCCTCTCTTGGCAACACTCTCTAACTGCAAAATATATTACATGTTATACACTTTAAAATTTGTTATCTTTTTAAAATTATACTTCACATTAATGAAATATCTCGCACAAAATATAGATCAATATTTTGCTGGAGCTTTTCGCTGGAGAAAGTAAAGATAAAAGTCAATTTCAGCGTGTTCTCTGGCAATTCTTTCTTACTGGGAATTTACACAGTAGCCGTTAACAGCGCATACGAGTTGACTGCGCGTTAGTGATGTGCTGAGCGTGCCGGGTCTTCGAAGCGTGTACCGAGTAAAAAAGGGGCGTATTTTTTGAAGCGTGGTTCGAGGCGTGTGTTGGTGACGTATGTGGTGACGTTCGAAGCCTCGCGTAGCGGCCGCACCACGTGACGGTTCATATAGTGCTTCATATAGTTCGGAGAGTGCATTGCTTTGACAGGTGCTTTGTGATCCGCGGCTGTACCATAGACTGTATTGGCTGTCCCCGTCTACCTCTGTGTGCGTACGTGTGTGTGCGTGATGTGGAGCAGTCCTGTACTAAGTATAGAGAAACTACTTCATATGAAATACAATTAAAAACGTTTCACTTTAGTAAAACCTCATATATCAAGGCTTCAAGTTATTAGTAATAATACGCTGGATAATACATTTCACAACAGCTGTGTAGCGCAGTCGGTATATGACGGACTCCGAAGCAGAAGATATAGCGTTCGAATCCTGGTCTACCCATAATAAATTTTGTGTTGCAAAGTAAATGTATTTATTTATTGGGAATAAATGGTTTGTTGTGTTTAATTAATCCACCTCTTGGTAGTTTTTCCTCCATTAATCACTTTCTGTAGAACTGTATTACTTTGGATGTGTTTGTTGTATCAACACAATTGACTGAAAGACTCAAATAGTTCATAGTTCATGAAGCATCATTTCAAACACAACACGTTAGACCATAGATTGTAAATATACATTTTAACATTAGATCTCACCATTCATTGTAAGCACTTAAGAGTGTTATGTATTTCTTTGTCCACATGATGGCGTAGTGGAGCATGATTCACCTCGAGCCTTCGACTCATGGGCCGAGTAATAGGCTGCGATCCCTCAAGGCTTCATGGGGCTTCATATTGCCATCACTACTGCGCGTAAAATTATTTGGGTGTATCTACACTGGCCGTGCGCGCAGGTCCGCGGCTTCTGATGCTCTCCTTGTGTGGTCTATGGAGAAGTGTAGAGGACAGTATGGGCCAGAGGACTGATGTAGAGCAACACAAATCACATGCATGCGTTTGTCTTCATGGTCTCTGTGCGCTGGTCTGGCCAGACGCCAGACTTTATGAAAGAAAAAAAAACGATTTTCAGAATCACTGTAAAACCTGCTGCTCCTGCTAATGTTTAGATACACGTGCTGTGTGTGTGTAGATGCGATCTAAAATCCAAGGGTCATGTTTCACATGTGTTTTCAATGGGAGACGCGTTAGAAATCCATCCTAAATTAGGCGCAGCCTCTCATCAATACGTCCGTCATACATACGTATGACACTAGAAGTGTAAATATCCCCATTGGTTAACATGGAAAAATTTTACGCGCGTCTGCTGCCCGCATAACGCGTACGTGCTGCAACGCCTCCTGTGTAAATTAGCAGTTAGCAGGAATAACTACAGCTGTTATCTGCTCATTCCTTTACTTCATATTTGTATCACTCACAAAGTCCTCACACAGCGGGACTTTGTTACATGTTTCTTTATTAAGCAAATAGTAGTGTTTGGTTCTTGAGGCTATAAACCAGGGGTGCCCAAACCTTTTGCTTCCAAGGGCCAAAGTAAAAATTTTCCAGTGGGCCGCGGGCCAAATACACCGATATTATGCATGAAACACAAATAAATGTAGATTTGATCAAGTTCTTTTAAATGCATTAATTATTGTCTATCAGTGCAAATCACAGCTGAATGAATGAAATCAACACAGTCTTAGTGAAGTGGAGGCTCCTGGGAAATATGCAGGTTTGAGGAGACTACAGTACGGAAAGATTCCGGCCGGGTAATCAGGGTCCAGAGGAGATAGATTTTCTGTCATGGCTTATTTACAGGTTAAAATCATATAAAAAACCTCAAAAAGAGAACAGAAACATACATTTTGTGTGCACCATGTGCACTTGTATATTGTAAATAGTAACTGTAACTCTATTTTAAATGTAAATGTATTCCTTAGAAGTCTTTTTTATTCTTTATTTTTATTATCTCTGTTGCACTGAGCCAAAGCAATTTCCAAGTCTGTGACTTCCTGTTACTTACGTGGCAAAAAAAATGATTTTGATTTTCTATGTAAATAAACTGTTTTTTAAAACGCTACTAAACAAATAATGTTCCTGCTAGTAAATGAAAGTACTAATTTATATTAAAAAATATCATACTCCCAAATTAAATAATCTATATTTTTAACCTGCTCATGTCAGTAAACTGTTTGTTGAATACCTTTTTCTAAAGTTTTGCATTACTATAGTACAGTGATTTATAATGTATAGGTTTATTGTACTAATGACATTTACTTTACAAAAGTAATCATATTACTTTATCTTAGCTTTTATCAAAAAGGGGAGACATCACAGATCAGTAGATCTGGTTTTAGCACACTTTTAAACAATACATTTTAACATGTAGTAATACATTTGGGAACATAATTGCTAACTGCATTTTCTAAACATGATCAAGTTTTAACTCTGTTTCAACTTAATATTTTTAACATAGGGCAAGTATTCTCAATTAGTAGTGAACTGAATATTAAACTAACGAAATCAGACTAGTTAACCTTGATTTGTTCCTGGAGTTTTGTTTTGTTTTGCCTTAACACAGTACAACATTTATAAACAATCAAAACAAAGTAACTGTTAAGAGTCCGTGTTTCTGCTCCTCGAAAGGGCTCTTGAACGCATCATAAAACGCCGCGTAAGTTCTGACATTCAGTGATCGCGAGTGAGGACGGCGCTTACCAGCTTCTTTCATGGGGTTGTAGAAGGGTTTGTTTTGCACAGTATTTGTTGCTTCTACTTGCGTGGATTGTGCGCTGCGATCCCTGCTTGTCCTGCTTGAACTCACTCTGAAGTGTGTGTGTCCGTCTTTTTTAACACACCGGGTGGGTGCGGATTGCGCAGGTGAATAGTTCCACTCGCCATTTCCCTCCGGTGAGGAGGGGGAGTGGCAGTTCGGCAGCACAATCCTCTCAATTTGATAAAACATTAAATTGCTCCAAAAAATAATAATAGTAGGCTGAAAACAAAGAACATAAAGGGGCCTTGCACCCAATTGTTTTAAAAGATGTGTTTGATTTTAAAAAAACATTTTAGTGCAAGTAGATGTGAACCATGAGTGAGGAGTGTATCTCGATACAACAGTAAAGTACAGGACAGTCGCAGTGCAGAGGGTGTTGATGCGCCCGCGCGACCTCAGACATTTCACTGTTTGTTCAGCGAGGCTGAGGGACGCACATAGCAACTTATAGCAGAGGTGGGCAATGTTTGGCGGGCCAACTGAAATGGTCTGGCGGGCCAACTTTGGCCCGCGGGCCCCACTTTGGGCACCCCTGCTATAAACAAAAACAAAACGTTGAACATTTTGATTTGGTCATTTTCTTCTGATTATGATAAATGGTGCAAATATTTGTTTCGATTTATTTTAATACTTTTTGTAAGGTGCCGCGATATCATGTTAACGACTTGGAATGTTGCATTTAAAGCTATTTATCTGAATAAGATTTTCTGCGCTTAAACAGGTTTCTCTGTGTAGTAAAAATGTGAAAGTACCAGCGAAAGACTGACTGTTGTTTGACTTTTAGCTGTCTCCTGCTCAGGAGGAGGACACGGCGATCGTCTCCGACACCACGGACGACCTGTGGTTCCTTACGGAGGCGGAGAGTGAGCAGCGCAGCGTTGAGATGAAGGAGGCGGCGCTGGACGAGAGCAGCGGCGACACAGATCCCCCGCCAGAAGAAGAGGAGGCGGAGCACAAGGAGGTAAGGCACCATCGTTTCTGGATAACTGTCCTGTGTCACCATAACCATAACCATATGTGTATTTTTATTGTCCTGCCTTGTTCAGATGGAAGACGACACAGAGGAAGAGTCTCAGTGTCTGAGTGACGACACGGATATAGAGATCTCCACTCAGGTTTGTACCAAACAGAAATGACCCACTCTAGTCTATACACAAAGAGCCTATCTTTGATAGTTTTATTAGTACTTTTATGTCTATTTATTGGTTTAGCAGAACACACTAACTTACTCTCATCATTGCTTATCCACCTGCATCATTTTAGGTACTGAAAAAGTGTTTTCAGTATTCACAGTTTAGAAGGTATTGGACAGAATTAAAACTTGAAGTGAGTTTTAATAACAATATGAATGAACAAACATTTATGAGTTTATAAAAAAAAAATCAAAAAAGAGATTTAGAAAACTTGTTTATTATTATTATTATTATTTGTATTATTATTAATTGTTCCTTTGGCTACAATCTGTTGAAATGTATATGTTGAAGTAGGCAAAATGTTCTCTAGCGTGGTTGCTACAAAATTACCAGCAGTTCTTTTCTTTTTTATCAGTGTTGAAGCTGTCTTACTTTGAATTTCCCAAACTGCATTTCATTGCTTTGACGATCACAATAACACAAAATCTCTCATCAGGATGCGTGGCAGTGCACCGAATGCCGTAAGTACAACACGCCTCATCAGAAATACTGTGTCCGCTGTTGGGCCCTCCGCAAAAACTGGTACAAGGACGTTCCGCGCCTCGCCCACTCGCTGTCCGTGCCAGACATCCCAGCACGCACCTCTTCCCTCTCCGCGCAGGACGACGAGGACTACGACAGCGAGGCGGGCGTGGACATCCCGGACTGCAGCCGCACCGTGTCTGACCCCGTCATCCTTCCCTCTCACTCCACCGCCGACCGCCCTCTCCCACCGCCGGGCTCCAAGGGCAAAGGCCCGCGACGCTCCGCTGTCCCCGGGCTGCCGCTGCTGTCAGAGGGCACGGACAGCCAAGAGAGCCTTGAGATGGAGGTGGAGGCCAAACCTGAGGCGCTGCTGGAGCCGTGCAAGCTCTGCAGGGTGCGGCCGCGCAACGGGAACATAATCCACGGCAGGACGGCGCACCTCCTGACCTGCTTCAACTGCGCCAAGCGGCTGCATAAGTTCCATGCGCCGTGTCCAGGCTGCGGGAAGATTATCCAGAAAGTGATAAAGATATATGTGGTCTAGAACTGTTTGAAGCAACCCACATAAATAATCGCACAGGATTAAACTGGGCTAGAATCAGATACCAGGTACAAATGTAATTATATTATATTATATTATATTATAGCATTGTCTACTTCAAGCTCATCTATTTAAATGAGAGCGTTTGTGTTTGATTTTGTTTATAATTTTATTTATGATTTTATTTATGATTTTGTTTATAATTTTGTTCAGGATTTAGTTTATGTGCCTAATGTGGGCCTGTGTTAATGGTGTCTTATAAGCCCATGTGGGCTGGGCATCCTCGTATGCAAGACACTATAATACAAATTATCTATCTATCTATCTATCAAGACTGAGCTAGAACCGAAAACTAAACTATGCCAGGAAAAAACCTTAAATTTTGGGCTAAACTACCATAAATTAGAACTATACAAGAACTCATCCAGACCCGTTTGTTCTGGACTCAACCAGGATCTACTACATGCACTACTTCTCAACAATATCACCTCCAAAGACTCGCATTTAAACCAAGATACAGTGTTGTTTAATCCTTTTATTCAGAAACTTTAACAGGATTCAGAACTCTCTGAATTCAAGCAGCGCTGAATTGAAAGTAGTAAACTAAATTATAAAACAAATCAAAATTACCACAACTTGGACGAAACCAGTCAGGTAAAACTTTTAATAATCTCTTCAAACCCAAGGCTTTCGAACTCTAAAACTGCTGCAGATCAAAAGCAGGTCTAACATAATCGATGGGCACTAAAACAGGTAAAGGAGCGTTTCCATTTCAATCTGGAAGACACAAATTACAAAACCAGGACTGGTCAATCCAAACGCAACTCTGCAACTTTGAAGAAAAAACATGACTCAAAAAAACTTTCTGCATGTGTCTGAGAAACGAATCAATGAGCACTTTATTCACAGCTTGTCCTTCAAAAAACAGCACTTGAAGCTGATTGTCGTGCGTCACCCCTCTGCCTCTTTTTAATGTTGAAACCAAAAGATGACTCTCGTGCCACATGTACAGACCGCGACCGGACACTTCCTTCCCTGCTGGACTATTGAGCTGACCTGTAAACAAACCGCACCAGTGACGTTTGAAAAGACACATTAGCAACTCTTCTATTTAAGCCGCAGGTTTTCATGTCGTAGTGACTTGACCAACAGCTGATGGAGCAAAACAAAGAGGGGACTGCTTTAACTGGACACTACACGGACACTGAACTTTGGTGACCGCTCCCCGTGACAGGAACCCTATAGATATAGAAGTCAATGCAGCACACTGTCTAGTGCTCTTGCAAATCCAATCTATATTATTATAATACAAGACACACAGCAGCCTAATCACATACAAACACGTCCTGTGTTTTTCCCAACAAATAAAAACATTGGCTGCATCTCTACATCACCACAAGATTTAAAGAACTTCTAGTCCAGCAAGTTCTGTACTTAGGTGTAAACCGCCTTCAGAAAGGCCAAGGAGTGGATGTTTATATGTGTAAAGGCTAAATTAAATAGAATTGTTTAAATATCTTAACTAAACTAAATTAATAATTAAAGATATTTGCAATTACAACAGGTGGACCTGATAGGAGTGTATAGTTGCCACAGTTAAAGGGATTCAGATTTATTTATATGAAGTGGCCTGTTGCAGAGTACTTTGCTGCGATCATTGCCTTGTACATAGATTTCCTTACTGAACAGAATGTGTATAAGATTTAACATGACTTTTTTCATTTCATTGGCAATTTGAAGGATTGTCTCTCTGGTAAAGCTCTTATAGATATGTTTCCTCACTGTTGAAAAAAACAGATATAGCTGTTGTGGCCGAGTTGTGAACTATTGCTTTTCTGTCTGCAGATCTGTCTTTTCTTGGTCATTTAGCGAAAGCAGCGGATTCATTTCTTGTTCATACGTTTGTAAATATACAATTTAATGAAACATAAGTACTATCAAAGATATGTGCTGCAACATGGGGATTTGAAGCAGAACTCAGTCGGGAGCTTGTTTTTCCATTGCCGCTTTTTTTAACCATTTTGCGATTTTATTAAAAGCATCCCCCAATTTCACCCTTTGTGATCTGAAAACCCTAAAGCTGAAAGGCTGTGTTCTGTTTGTCAATGGAAGAGGTTTCGCCACTCCTCCATTCAGTGACCATATGATTTCACAGTCCCATAATACAGTTGGAAACATTTGGAAAAGATTGGAGCTCTCAATGTCAATGCCAACTGGCTGTGGCAAGACAAGGTGGTAAATATTCTGGGGATGTTCCAATACTTTGCCATATAGCTAGTACCAATATGCCTACCAGCACAAAATATATGGATACCAGTCACTAGAATATATAGATTGAAACTAATGACTAATAATTGTGTTAGAGATTTTGTAGGTACCTGAAACAAATCCCATGGAGCTTTTGTGGTTAACAACTTACATGAGCTGGAGAAAAATCATATGTTGTATTCACCTGGAGAATGTCCTCTTTTTCATTGGAAGAGGTTTCTCAATTCTATACAGTAGTGTATTGGAACATTTGAAGTAGCTACAATTAAACCGACCCAGATCTTTAGGAAAACATTGGCCCAACTTTGAGAAAGATATTTCAAATCCATTCTTCATCCAAATGCATCGACGTCGACCTCGTTCCCTTCAGCACCTGTTCGGATGCAGGAGGGGGCGCTCTTTCTCCATCTCCTGCATAAAACCACTGAGTTCTTCTTTAAATCTCTCAATAGAAAGAAGTATTGCAGTATTTTTGTTCAATTACCTTTGAAAGTAACCGCCCTCAAAATGCCGCTCTGTATTGATCGAAATATATAAACGTGTATGTTGTTGCCAAGCTCTTGACGTTCCTGTTAAAGCAGTTATTCTAATGATCTTGGATTTAAAGTTTTTCCATGTTATTGTGTTTATTTAATTTATAATTGTTTTAATCCTTTTGTAGAAAGTCATTGTTGGGTTTAATTTGAGCGTCACACTGCCAATTGTCGCGCATTATTCTTTGCATTTTTTTGTTTTTAAATTTGTTTGACCAATATTTTTTTTGAAGTACTTTATGAAGTCGTAATTTGTCGAGGCTAATTTTGCGGTCTTTACTTGCGCTTTGTTCTGTCGCCACTAGATGGAGATATTTGGATCCACGCACACAATAGCATGGCCCTGTTTTGACTTGAACAGTGTTAAATGCAATATTTACGCTAAGATTATAACGCCTGAGAAGACGACATTTTGTCAGTTTTGGTCCAAGACGGTGAACTGCAGGTCCCAGTGTGGCTGCGGGGAAGTTGGAGGTTCGGCTTTTTGTGAAGAAATAAATATAGTTGTAAAAGAATGATTGTTTTTGAGTGTTCTCCATCAGCAGAGACTTCACTGCACTCTTTCAAATGTGAGTTTGTTTTCTGTCAGACACAATTTATGAATATGACTTATATTCCAAGTATTAAAGTAGATCACAAAGAAATTAAGATTATGAATCATATGAAAAGTTTCCACCAACTTTACTCTCAGTTGTGTTTTCATTACACTTCAGATCAGAGCTTTTGTACCAAGGTCTATCGTTTTCATAGTTTGTTCAAAGCTAAGCTTCCTCACTTTTAAAAATAATTAAATATAGCATTAGATTCATTCCAACACATTTCTGAATAAGATGAGATGTGCTTTATTTATCTCACATAGGAGAAATTTACATGTCACATTAAGCATGGATAGAGACACTCAGATTGTGCAAAAGGAGGAAATGTGAAAACATGTTACATGCAGGATATATGTACAACAAAAGTGACAATAATTATGTACAACACAAGTGACAAGTGTCAATTGGAAACAGTGTCAATAGTAGTGCAGGTTTTCACACAGTGATCATTTAAAGTGACTTATTGTACAGTCTGACAGCGGTGGGGATAAAGGCCCTGCGGTAGCGCTCCTTCCTACACTGAGGGTGCCTCAGTCTTCCACTGAAGGAGCTCCTCAGCTCCTCTACAGTCCTGTGCAGTGGGTGGGAAGTATTGTTCATGATGGAGGTGGCTTTGGCTAGCACCCTCCTGTCCCTCACCTCCTCCACAGAGTCCAGGGAGCAGCCCAGAGCAGAGCTGGCCCTCCTGACCAGCTTGTTCAGTCTGTTTCTGTCCCGCTCTGTGCTGCCCGGGGCCCAGCACACGGCAGCGTAATAAATGGCAGAAGCTACCACCGAGTCATAAAAAGTCCTGAGCAGAGGCCTGCTCACTCCGAAGGACCTCAGCCTCCTCAGAAGGAAGAGGCGACTTTGGCCCTTCTTGTGCAGGGCGTTTGTATTTTCCTCCCCCTGGATGTTCAGCAGCGTGTGGGAAAGTGGTTTCCTCCTGAAATCGATCACCATCTCCTTGGTCTTACTGGTGTTTAAGCACAAGTGGTTGCGCTCACATCAGTCGACAAAGTCCTTGATAACCAACCGATCTTCCAGTTCGTTCCCCTCAGACACACAGCCCACGATGGCAGAGTCGTCGGAGAACTTCTGCAGGTGACAGCTGTGTGTGTTGTGTGGGAAGTCTGAAGTGTAGATGGTGAAGAGAAACGGTGAGAGGACAGTGCCCTGAGGGGCCCCAGTGCTGCAGACGACCACCTCAGACTCACAGCTGCGCAGCCGCACGTACTGTGGTCGGTCTGAGAGGTAGTTGATGGTCCATGCAGTGAGGCTACTGTCCTCTCCCTGCGTCCTCCATCTTCCCCTGCAGCAGTGCCGGCCTGATGGTATTGAAAGCGCTGGAGAAGTTGGTGAGGATGAGCCGCTCCATGGTCTTCATCAGGTGGGAGGTCAGTGCGACTGGTCTGTAGTGAGCCGGTTCCTTGGCGTGTGCTGTTTTTGGAACCGGGATCACACAGGAGGTCTTCCACAGGACAGGGACCTTCTCCAGGCTGAGGCTCAGGTTGTACATGTAGCTGAGGACCCCAGAGAGCTGGTCTGCACAGGTCCTCAGCAGCCTGGGACTGATCCCGTCCGGTTCTGCGGATTTCCTCAGCTTCAGGCGCTGGAGCTGACTCCT